AGTCACGCTTTAACATAACTGGGAGGGCCCACAGGTGATCTTACTGTGTTTCTACAGCCTGGAGTACAGCCAGGCAGATCAAACAGATTAAAACTTCTGGTCAAGACTGCAGCAGGGCAGCAGCTTTGCTTGAGAGCAAATCAGATATGCTGTAGAACAAGATTTGTGTTGAAGCTGAGGGGGTTTGGGCAAATCCATTTGTTTCTAGTGTGCTCCATATACTCTCTCACCTTTCACTTGCTTGTTTACATGCTTTTGTTTTTCCAAAAGTGACTTACTTTTTTAAACAATGGTAACTGAACTTAAGCATTTAGCCAAAATAACACAGGCACGTCAACATTTTTACTAATACTTAAAGCTAATGAACCTAGTTTACTGACACAAATATTTTAATTAACTTGCAGACTGTAGTTCTTCCTTGTACTACAAATGAAAAACAAACAAAAGCTGGTATCCTTTTTTTTTTTTTTCCTATCCCTTGAAAACTGCTTAAAAACATTCTTATCGTAGTCAGGTGGCAACTCTGACACACGAATAAGACAACATATGCACATGATCATAGTTAAAAACCGTTTAATGGTTTGGATACAGCCTTTTTAAGAGTTTGTGAATAACTCAGTTTCCTTTTTCCACTCACACTGCTCATACTCGTAGAAGTGACTAAATCTATGCTCCTAAACAGAAAAAGTGACCAAATAGGACAGCCGTGGTTTGCTCAAAGACTTTCACTAGTACAATCTTCTGTATTCCTAAATGTGCCTGATAAAAAATGATTATGAAGAATGAGAAAGAAATTAATCCTTAAATATGTTTGCAGGCAGAAGAGCTAGGAGAGCAAAGTAAGAGAAAAAAAGAAAGTGATTTCAACAATATATCTAAAAGGCAGCTATGTAACTGCTGTTTTGATTCTGTATTACCATAGTGGTGGCATATAACCAGGGAGGTGAATGGATACACTTATCAGGGGAAATGGCCAAGGTGGTGCTAACAGCTGTTGTACCCAGCCATCTACCCCCTTTTAGAACACAAATTAGTCACATCCTGTTGCTCCAAAAAGCTCTCAGTGTCATTAAGGGACTTAGAGGTGACCCTGCAGGGTAGTTACAGTTGTTTTACTACGCACAAGTTAACAGGGAGGAAGGATTCCCTCTGCTCCCTCAACCTTCCAGCCTGCCAGAGCCAGGTATGAGATGTAATCAAGCTTACTTTACCCTCCGGAGCAGAAGTCCTCATGTTCTCTTCACAGAGCAGCTTATCAGATGTGACTTGCAAAAGGTGGATGCATAGCAGGAGCCTAGAAATGAATTATGTCTGTGGCCTGTGTAGGGACCCATAACTTGTGATCATCCTGTTCAGCACAGAGTCCATGGGTCACAGGTGTGGGAGCCCTATTCTGGATTTTAACTGTTGTTGCACAGGAAGAACAGTGCAATGAAAAAAGTTGATACACAGAACTTATTGTTTGAGAAGAATCTGCATGCTATCAAAATTGTTTTATATAAAATATTTAACCTATTTATATTATATTAAATTCTTTATTATAGAGTAGGTATGCTGTAATATGAGTCTGGATTATCTCCCTCCCCCCCCCAGTGTTGCTTCTTGGAGCATTGCAGATTATTCTTCGATACTCTAAAGAGAGAGTGTTCTCAGTACTGGACTTTGATTATAGAATTTCTTGCTAGAAAAATCAGTATGAGAGTTATACTTAGGTAAAAGTTTCCTACGTATCTTTCCTTCCCTTGTCCTGTATATTAACTCCAGGCTAATTTCATTGCTCAAATTAAGTCTTAAATTACATTTATGAATAGTATTAGCTGTTCTGTCAAACTGCTGTGATAACAGGGAACTAGGACTACAGCAACAGCAGTGTTTTATTTTGAGTAGATTAGGTACGATGGCAGTGTCATACACAAAATATCACAGGATAAATGGCACCTACTTTGAAGAGTGCTGGCATATTTTTCTGAAATATTTTTACTCTACCTGAATGCTTACTTAACAGCAAGATGTTTGGCCCATGAAAGCATTCTGCTTTATTGATACTATCAACAAAAATAGCTTACGTGTTATAGTTTACTTTCTTAGTCCTTTGTAAGAAAGGGCTGCAGAGTAATTCTTACTGAATTTTATATAAACAGCTTCCTGCAAACTAAGATAATTATGTAAAATATTGTATTGCTTGAAGAGGCTGATACCAGGGACGTTATTGCTTTTCTTTCTCTGATAACCAAGCCCTCACACTGTTAAAAGAAGCATCTTGGATTCTTTTGAATGAGAATTTACAGTGTTTAATGTACATTGTCCACTACTATGTTCTTGCAAATAAGTTATTCTAGTAGCAAAAGCAAAAATAATCCTTTTTTTTTTTTTTTTTCAAACTCCCCTTTCTGAAGAGTAGCTTTATGACAGCAAATTCAAGCCTGGGAAAATGAGTATTTTGGCCCCATTTAAAAGGGACAGAAAATGACCAATCCAGTAGACCAGTGGTAGAGCCCAGGTCCATTGAGTCCTTCTGTGTTCTAGCCACCAGACATAAATACCACCTTCTGTAAAACACCGCAACTTTCTAAAAAGAAAATAAGATACGTATTCTGATATTAGAGGAATTCCTCTAATAGCTATTTTAGCATAAAGGTACATCTTCAAAGCACTGTGTTAAAAACCCCCAGAAATCTCCAAACCACCATGGGGTGTGTGTGTGGGGGGGGGAATTAACCTTTCACCATTCTCAAGAGCAATTACACTAGATTTGCATTTAGAATAAAGCTCCTGTTTAAGTTAAATTGAGCAGACCCAAAACATCTTTTCTCAGAAGAATCAGGTATTTTTTCTGCCAAGAAGAAAACGCAGTAGTCCTTGCTCTCTTAGTATGCTGTGAAAAGGGCTGCCTTGTGTCCTTGTGACTGGCTACTTTGGTGGTGGTTATATTAGACTCCTTCCCTCTTCCTCTGATTGCTACCCCTTGTAGTTATAAACAGCAGACACAAGGTGAGGGAAAATTACAAAACAAGTTTATTAAAGTGTAACATAAAGCACTACAGCTAAATATGTACAACTCCCTCCCTTCCCAAGGGATTATAAAATTGAGAGTTGAGCTATATACAAATAAGAGGAAAAATTGTATATACATAAAAGATGCTTCAAAAATAACTTAACCAAGAATCAGTTATTAGTTCTTATCTGAACTTAGTTCTGTAAGGCTTTATCAATAGCCTCTTCAAGATCACAGCTCTGGAATCCTTTACATGGGACTTGTCCATACTTGAACATTTCTTCAAACATATTACTCAAAAAAGTTGCCATGCTCTGTGCCTACATCTAGGCACAAATTCTGAAGCAAGTGAGTGAACAAAGTTATTATAGCGTAAGTATTTCAGAACGGCCAATTCATAAATTTCTAGAGGCAGATAACCTATTCAGGCAAAACTTGCACCGACTTCAGTGCAAACGTGACTGAGATAGTATGAAACGATGGTCTCGCCGACAGAAATCACGTGATTTTCTCTGAATTACTGATACCAGAATTATTCGTACTCCCTCTTCATTTTGCAGGTAGGTCTCAGGAAGAAGTATGCCTGAAATGATTTTGTGTTTTCCCCTATTAATCCCTCATACAAATTATCAATACTGTTTTATATCTTGTACCTCCAAAACGAATGTGGAACCCTTAAGCCTATGAATCAGATATGCAGCTGATTTCCATGCATCTATCAGCAAAAGATACAGTACAGACCTGCCTCTTCAGGTCCTACAGCACCTAGCCTGAACACTCCTACAAATTATATATCTAAAATCTATATTCTAGTAAATGAATACAGTTAAAGGAGATCATACCTCAGCAGCTGAGATATCCTCACAAAAGATGAGGATAAGAATCAAGACTCTCAGATGAGGACTCGAGAGTGCAGGTCACTAAATTATTGCTCCAAGACAAAACTACAAGCCTGTGTATTCTATTAAGAAAGGTTAAAATTGTCTTGTAAAAAATAATGACTATCTTCTTGTCTATAAAGAAAATTAAATGAGTAATAAAGCAAGTGTTACTGTTATAAGTATCTAAACAAGATCCTGTATAAATCTAAGCACTGTATTTTTTAAAAAGTCTGAAATCTAAGAATACAGTAATAAGCTATAATTTTAGAAATATAAAATAGTCCAAACAAACATTGTTATGGAATGCATTTTCTATGTAGGAATGTGAATTTTTTTTCCCAGAACCAATTTTCTCTTGTGATCATATATCCTGGACATGTTAACCTTCAGGTACTTTTCCTCAGGTAACAGCAGCATATCATTAGTTCATCTTCCACTGATTTTTAAATATGAATTTTATTAATCGCAGAATGTTGTTCTTTTTGCAGTACTCATGACTGAAGCTATGTCTATCCAAAGATTTTACTATCTTTTCAGACAGAAAAAGCAATGAGGAACCTCAGGACAAGCTACTTTTGTTACATAGAGTCAGGATCCTGCTCTCCGACTCTTCAGTTGTAAATGGAGCTGACAAAGGAATCCTTCAGGTATTACATCAACAACAGAAAAAAAAGCTTAAAAAAGTGGTGGGGGGAAGGGGGCCTGAATGGATGCCTAACAGAAAATCAGAGAACTTCATCCATTGTCCTTTGCCAGCATTATAAAGACATCAGCTGTTCATAAATGTTGTAGTACAGATGAGCAAAGCAAATAAAGGTCAGAAAGGAACGGCAAGAATCTGCTTCAGTGAACACAGTTATAGATGCCTGCAATAAGAATATTTCTGGGGAGCAGGGATGTACTTCATGTTATGCATAGTAGACTTTAACAGTAATGTTAAGTATAAAACACGATCAAGAAGCAGAAGTTCTGCACTTGCCACAACCTAGGCTATCAACACAAAAAAGTTAAAGGTCTACTACTTTACAGGTACCAACATACAGGAAGAGGGAAAAAAAAAAAATCCAGTCAGGCTTAGGAGTCAAGGGACCATTTACAAAATATTTAAATGAAATCCTCCATGAAATTTTTCACAAGACTATTTAATTAAGGTGCAGATTAATTATTACTCCATGTAAAACACATTCAGATAAGAGGTATTTCCTATGCTCTTCTGTTTATCAGTGTCTGAACACAAGGCATCAGTGGAAATAAAATGCTAGCACCAAGTAACTAACCAACAAATAATATCTTTAAATGTATTGTTGGTACTGTTGTATGACTGTTTCTTTACTATTTGATGATTACTTAAATGCTCACGTTATGCTACTAATGGCACAAACTGGAAAACTGGAGTACAAAAATACTATTTTGTCAGCTAGACTTTAACAACCTTATCAGAACACTAAAAGTGTTGCTCTTTTAAATTCAGATTGCTGGTAATAAAACATACTTTCACATGGGTCTTGCTAAATAACAGTTTTATGAAGTTACTGCAGATAAGTGACATGAGAGGTAAACCAATTCATAAATACGTCAATTAAAACAAATCAGTTATACTTAGATATCTTTCCAGTCAAAGTTTTATCAATCTGCTCTGTTGTATTCTTTCTTAGTGCTCCCTCATTTAGCATTAAAATAGTACTTTCTCAGTGAAGGAAAGAATTTATTTCTTCTTTTGTACCTACTGTCTAACACTACAAGAAACACTACTGTAACAGAAATGATTATTACGAAACTATGATTCATGCCTCACAACTAAGTCAGTGCATCTTTTTGTCTCATCTACAACACTCGTGTTCCAGCTCTTCTTTTGAGCAAAGGCTGCTGCTATTTGTGCCGAAACACAGGATATTTTAGGGATGTGGAAAAAAAGGTGGGACAAGGTACAATGTTGGATTTACTTAGGAAAAAAAAAGAAAAAGAAAAAAAAAAGAGAGAGACATCTTAGAAAGAATACCCATTGGGAACCTATGTCATTAGGTTACCTCTCTCTTAACTTACCAAACTTATGGAAAAAAATGAACCCTCCTTTTCTTGCCTTGTCAGGGACATTTACCCAAAGTTTTCCTTCCCTCTGGTCAGACTTCAACTGAAGACAGCTACTTCTGGCAGACAGCAGTAATTCTTTGCAAGCACCTCACCAGAGCACTGGCCTACCTTCCATCACATACTCCTTTTTATCACCTTGGAATGCAGGAGTACAAGCTTGTTAGTACATTTGAATTACTATTTTTTCCCCTTATATGTCTGGGCTAATATTCTTAAACTAATAAACATGGCTTAAAATGTCTGCTCCAAAGTGACATTGCGACATATCAGATCAGCAGGAACACCGGAGGAGCTCTCCAAAATGCATTAACATATTTGAGAGAGAAGTCTTAAGGCAGGTTTTGCTGGAAAGGAATAGTCTCCTGGAAATCAGTGTTAACTGCAATTAAAAATTTGATTGTAAATTAGCACATTTCAACAAGAAATGAAAGGCAGCACTGCACAATGGAGATGCCTAACAAGTGTCTTTACAGAGAAGAAAAAAAGAACCAAGTCCAACTCAAAAAAGCGTAACTGTTTGATTATGTTCATCTTACCAAAGGTATGCAAGTTCACTACCAGATTACCTTGTTGGCTCCATACTGCAGTGTCAGTACAACTGTTGCAAGAAAATAAATTGAGGTTCTGAATATCCAGTCACAGCAGATCTTAGCAATGTTTCTGATGAAGGAGACTGACTACCCGTCACAGGAAGCAGCATCTGTTGGTCTTCAGTCCCAATGGGAAGGGGAAGTGGTAAAGACATCTCAGAGGGCTTCACATCTACAGACTCTGATAAAGGACTTCTCTGACTCTGAATGGATTCTTGTTCGTTGAAAGAATTCTCAAGTGTATTGGAATCAGGGGGGGTTTCAGATCCTATTAGGAAAAAACAAATCAAGTTTTCCAAAACATTTCTCTTACAGCAATTCATGTATGGAAAAACTTTGCAGATATATAAGAACTACTATTAGAAAGAACAAGTCATTTTTACTCTCAGAGAACATTAGCTAACTGCAATTAGAAATCTGACTATAGATAGCACAACTGAAAAAGAAATGAAAGAACGCTACAAGTGTGTCTTTCCATGGAAGAATAAAAAGAACAAGTCCAACTCAAAATATAAACACTTGAATGATTATGTTCATCTCACCAAGACTCTCACAGTCACTATCAGATTGCCTTGTTGGTTTAACTGCAGTGCCATCTCACTACCCCTCACAACTTTCTTTAGAGACACCATCCCTCTGGGGTGTAAAAGGCTGTCTGAAGAAACCTTCCAAAGTTGCTATGCAAATCCTGCAAATTCCTTTTCATCTGATTGTCTAAACAGACTCTTAACAGCCTTCCTGTTTGAGTGCAGTCTACCACTGCTTTGGGAGGGCTTTCTGATTAGGCCACAAAGGATATTAATAACACGCTGCAAGCACTCTCTAAAGCCCGTTATTCTAGTGGTGAAGTGTTCCTATCTGCCCTCTGTCTCTCCATTAGGACTGACTCGCCTCACCGCGGCTCAGCAGCTCTCACTGCCCGCCTGTATTCTCCTGCTCTCCCAGGCACTCGCCAAGCTCCCTGCCTGTCTCTCTGCATGCCGGATTCCCGCTGCACTGCGGCCTGCCTACGTGGGGCTTCACAAAGCCTTTGACCTTCAAAGCTGGCTTTGCCTACAACTCTTCCCATTCTCTCCCTAACTTGCCCCATCTGTCCCAGTCCAGACATACACAGATACCTATTATTTCTTTTTCCATATGACAGAGGCAAGGGAATTATGGTTAATACACTTAAGGATGGACAGATAATGAGGCATACGGAGACAGTGTTGAAAGAGGCTGGCTCTATTATCTGAACATGTCTGTGCTTTGTACCATAAACAAGTAACGTATCAAGTTTCTTCCTAATCAAAATCTGATATCTAGAATAGGAATTAGATGTATTTGAAAAGTCTTTTTAGGGCAGCATTCACAGCTGGGAACATTCTGCCAGCTGTCTAGTTTTCTGTGTTTGCTAATCCAGCTCAGACTTGGATTAACGTTGAGTATATATATATAATAAAAATCTTTCACAGATGCATTAAAAATATTTGGGCCTTCAAGAAGCAAAGAAATTCTTGTAACCAGCATGCCTTGTTCATCTCATTTATTACCCTTGTAAAAGCAGATTCCTTCTAAAATAGATTAGGGAAGAGGTTAAAAAAAGTTATCTACAATCCAGACTATGCCTTACTATGAAAACCTCTCACAATTTACTGGAACAAGAGAGTACATATTTACATAGGAAAATTCTTGTCAGCAGCAAGCCACTTCTCTGTTGATCAAAAAATGTTTCCTATAGCAAGAAAAATGCTTTGTCTTGAATCTATTTTAAGGCATATGCTTTGTGCTTTAAAAGTTTCGGCTGTCTCTAAAGCAGATGCTTTTGGCACTAGAGCTACCCAAAAATACTTTTTTTGAATGTCAGTCCTATTTAATAATAATTAAAAAAAAAAGTTATTCAGCATGGAACAAGACAAAACAGTCATTACAATACCTTAACCTTGCTTTACACAGAGGACTCACCTGTGTGAACTTTTGTTTTGTGCTTCTTTAGATTTTTTATGTCTGTGTAAGAATTTCCACACAATTCACAGATAAATGGTCTTTCACCTGAAAAAAGGGGTTTGGCAGTTAGAACTGAAGAATATAATATTGAAATCAAAAGAAAACACAGTTATATACCTAGGATAACAGATTTTAAAGTTATATTTTAATATATAACTCTGCAACTGTAAGTTATTTTGTCTGTGTCTGTATTTGTTATTAAAAGCATTTGCTGAAAAAAGATAGAAAAGAAAAAAATCTCATGTTGGAAGTAAAGCCATGATAATACATCAATACCTAAGCTGTTAGATATTAGTCTGAAAAATGCAATTTAAAACAAATCACAAGCAGTTTCTTTGAATTATGTTAACACAGAGATACATAAATTAAAAGACTCTACTGTTTTCAAGTACAGCACAAGATGGAGCGAATGTAGAAAATTACTTATTTTGCAGGAAGCAACTTGTCTGGAAACTGACCTGTATGGGACCGAAAATGTTTATTGAGCTCTCCAGAGGAAATAAAACTCTTTCCACAAATGCCACAGATATATGGCTTCTCTCCTAAAGGAAACAAGGAGTTTGTTATTACAATTACAAGTCAGAACACACAAAGAACAAATTAAAATGAAACAGAGGCAATGTCCAATGGGGAAAAAAAGCCCCTAAACTGAAGTCAAAGGGAAAGAACCTGAGAAAGAAACTGATGGATGAAAACACCAGAGGTAACTGCAGATAATCCTAGTCTACAGTTTTCCTGATCATCGCTTATCTCCATCCTCTCTGCAGGCAGCCAGTCCTCCCTCATCAGGTCTGTTCAGGTATCTCTGTCTTCTGCCTCCCCTTACCTGTATGTTTTCGGGAATGGGTGATGAGAGAACTTGACACAGCAAAGGCTTTTCCACAAGTGTCACACACATAAGGTTTCTCCCCTGTGTGGCGACGCACATGGTAGGTGAGCGTGCTGGCCTGAGCAAACCGCTGACCACACCGGTCACACACATAGGGCTTCTCGCCACTATGCTTCCTGTGAACAAACGCGCACATTAGGAAGGGATCTCATGGCAGACATGGAAACGACACCTGTGATTAAAGGAACGTGGCGTTGCTTCAATCAGTACTTAAACCCCCAAGTTCCTCGTGCTAATGTTCCATGAACTAAAAAAACCCAATGACCTGGAGTTTAGGTTTGAGTTAGCAGCTTCTCACTGAATAAAATTCACTGTCTGTTGACTTTGGCAATTCAAGTATCAATGATTTCAGTGGCAGATGAACTGAACTATAAGCATTGCACAGGTAACGTTCAGCGTGCAAACTCAGCAAGTTTTGCAGTATGCTATACTGAAAGATAAAAGGATGATTCTTAACAAAGGGACGTAAATTGTCCTCCTGCCAAAACATACAAAGAGTCCCATGCAGACAGCAGCGAACAGAGACCCCTGTTCTGTTTCACTTCCTGCCAAGGAACTCTTTCCTTGTCAGCGTTAAAAGAGATTAAAAATCAAAACAAAAATCCAGTCACTGCCATAAAGACACCAGTATGAATGCCGCAACATTCATAAACTGCAAATCACTTCCCTAATGAGGGAGTTCACAGACATACATAGCCTATTATGCAATGCAAAACAAGACCTGAGAGTAAAGGAGTAGAAATGACCAAATTATGTGAATGTAACTCCTGCTCACGCTGGAGTGAATTGTTCTCTGTTTAAAAGAATCTATGAATAAACATATGCCGGATCCTGTTTTTGCCTACCTGGCATGAATCTTCAGATTGCTTGATGTTGCAAACTGCAGATTGCACACATCACATTTGTATGGTTTCTCTTCTCCGTGATGCATCCGACTGTGGAACACTAACTGGCATTTCTGGGCAAAGCCCTTGTCGCACAGTTCACATTTGTATGGCTTCTCCCCTAGTGAAAAAAAAAAACAAACACAAAGAGTACGTGAGATTTAGTAAGAAAGCTTTCCAATCTATTTACTTGATCAAAGCTCAAGTCTCTGTTCTAGTACTTCTGACAAATAACATCCTGTAACATCCTATAACCAATCCACTGAAGTGCTACCTGCCAAGAACATAGCACATACTAGACCATTTCTGAACATATTACTTTGAGATAAAAATATTAATTATCCTTTTTTAAATAGCGCCGTTTTCCCAATATTATTTTGGGAACGCCACTACTGCCCTTTCAAACATTTTGGTTATGTCCATTCATGACAATGGATATTTGAGATGAATATCCAGTAAATTACCCGCTTTTTCTTGCCTGTTAAGCAGCAAGAAGTCTTAAGTATACTCTCTAGTTTTCACAAGTTTTCCGTTAGCTTCTGCTGTAGAATGCTACAGGGAGTTCTCTGACTAGTCACGTTTTTTTTAGTGGTCAACGTGGTCTTATCTAATGGACTGTGCAACTCCACAGTCTTAGATGACAATATAAAAGAGCCTATCCTTGTATGTCTAGGGCAGTGCACAATCAAGCTAAGAACACAACAATCCTGAAGTACACTGCATAGATAAGCACTTCAAAAATAAAAATTTTAGACTAGTTCTAATTTGTCATCTAGCAACCAATACATTAAAATTCCCTACCTATTCATGCAAAATTTTCAAGTATAACACCCTCAGAAGTAGAAAGTGTGGCTGATGTTCCTGCCAGGAAACTGTCCCTGAATAATGCTCACAACCTTCATCTTAGCATATGAATCTTTGGTTAGTCATTGGCTGGTATATTTGCAATCCTCTCCCTTGGCTACTGGGAGAACAAGGTATTCTCCTGCAGCTGTACCCCAACACCTCCTACTTCACCTCTTTCACATCTTCATGGCTTCCTGGATATAGCTCCACTGCTGACTTCTGCTCAGGGTTTTCCAAAGGGGGAAAAGAGCAAAAGAAATGAAATTTCATCTTTTTCACTATTACTTCAGAAATCTGAATAACAGTCACAAAAGGAAAAAAAAAAATAAGTAAACAATGTCCCTCTATTGGTCACTAGGTTAAGTACAGCAGCAGAGGCAACAGCAGAAGAACAGCTGTACCAGATCAGGTTGAAGACCCAACTAACCCAGGACCAAGTCACCAGTAGGAATCTCTAGGAACATTAGAAAAGACAAGCAAGCATACTGCTTCTCCAGTGCGTCTTCCTGGGCTCCAGCAATTTGCTGTTCATAATCTTTTTAAGCCAGAGGTGTTGTCCTAATATTTAAGTGCTCATAATTGACTTTTCTTCCATGCTTTGCCCAGTAGCTCTTGATACCACACAAACTTCTAGTAATGAGATTGAACGAAGAGAGTAACATCATCATACATTTCAGCTAAACATTTTACGAACTCAAATCCAAAATGCTGTAGTAACTTAGCTATTTCCCCTATCTTTTGAAAAGATACCTATGGGAGAAGTTGCCTACTTGTCACAAAAATGCATTTTTTTTCCCTATGTTACCAAATTATATATTAGCATTTGATGTTAAGGGGAAAAAAAGCAATAGAAATTATGGTATCAAGCACAATGAGCCTTTCATGCTCTACTGGCAATACTCCATTCCCTTTAATCACTCTACAGAGAGAAAGAACAGTCAGCTCTTCTGAGACTTTCCAAAAAAAAAAAAAAACACACACCAAGATGCTTAGACTAATAAAGTCTTCTCTAGGTATTTAACATTTTTCAGTACTAAATCACTTTCTATTTTAAAACAGTTCATGCTATCAGAATACAGGTACTCCCCCCATATGCATACTGGTAGCAGACAAAATTTTACAGCAAAAGTCAAAATGCATATAAAGATCATTTTAGTTATGTAATCATATGCTGTTTTTACAGATCTCAACAGTACATAACGACAAAGCCAAAAGCTTACCTGTGTGAGTTCTTACATGTGTTTTCAACTGATTGCACTGTGTAAATGCTTTCCCACAGAGTTGACACACATATGGTTTCACTCCTTTGTGTATTCGCATGTGTCGACGGAGGCTACTGGCTTCTGAGAAGACCTTTCCACACGTGTTGCACACTGGTTTAGCTTTGGAGTACTTCTGATCAAGCTCTTCTCCTGCACCCTCCAGCTGGTAAGTGTTCTTTTCATTGGCTATGTTAGACATACAATGCTCTTTCAGTGCACAGTTTTGCTGAGGCTTTCCCCGTTTTTGTTTTCCTGTAAGAGTCTGAACTAAGATATCTTGTGCTGCCAACGTTTCACTTTCCACCACAGACGACAACTGTAGTTCAGAGTTATCATTGCCTTGGGCAGCCTGTTCTGTTATCTGTGTGGCCAGCTTATTTGCATCTAAGAACATTTCAAGGGATGCATTCTCAGTCACATCATTCTGATATTGTACTGATTTATTCTGTATGCTTTTGGGGGAGCTGAAATTCTTCTTTCGCTTTTTGGTTTGAGCAGATTTCTTTTCTAAAGCTACTTTCTTTGCTTGTGATTGAACCAAGTCTGCAGAAGCAGCATCTGCTTTCTCCCGATTACTGTAATCTCGGAGAGTCAGAAGGCAAGTCTGCTGATTCATTTCAATGTTTCCAGTGATACTAGATGTCTCTGTAGAAGATGGATTAGCAATAAAAGCAAAGTCTTCCATCTTTATCTTGCATTTAGTGACCACTTCTTCTACTTTGAGATAGTCGGCAGCCTGGTGAATTTCTTTAACATTCCAGCTGCAAGAAAATAAGACTTGTGTGACAATATTCCAGACAAAGCAAAAACTTGTTCTCTATCAAGTATATTAAATACAGACAGCAGAGCTATGGAAAAGTTACATTATCTGAAAACACAAGTATGAGACACAGGCAACAAAATCTAACCTAGTGTTTATATTACAGTAAGACAGCTACTCCCAAACTGATGGCCCGTGTCTAGTAGGGTCTGCAGGTCTCCAGAACTAAAAATTTTATTTTCATTTACATAGCTTTTGTAGCATTTTAAGTTAAAAGTCCAATCATAAAGTGGTGAACTCAGGAATCACAGTATGAAGGGATAAAACAGTGGAGAATAAAACACAAAAGTTATTATTCTATAGTCTTTCTGCCAAAAATCTTAAGTAATTCACAATGTATTCACCTCAGCTGTTCACTGAAGCAGCATTAATCCTGTTTTATAAAATGATTTGCAAAGAGTCTTTACTTTGGATCAACAGCACACAGACAATCTTAAGACCCATAAAGTCCTTCTTTGAACTACTACCCTGTATTTTTCAGTTCCTGCAGCACAGGCCTCAATGGTTAAAAAAAAAAAAAAAAATCTGAAGAGGGTAGCGTACATTTAACATATGCTACAAATGAATTTAGGGATTTATAGCACTTTGAAGGAAGATCAATTGTAAACATCACTTTATCAATCTATTATACAAATGGAAAAACTAAACAATCTTGTCTGCATTACTACAGAAAGCAATTGCTCCCAACATAGTAACAGCACTAGGAATAACCTTCCACTTGAAAGTTGTTACGACACCACAGCTGGGCTGACTTGCTATGCCTCACTGCTTTTTTCCTCTTTTGTTTCTTCCTACTTTTTGCGTTTATACTTAATTCATAAAAATTTGAACTAGCTTATGTGCAATACTAAAGTGAATAAAACAGATTTTTACCACTAGTGCTCCTTCAACCCCTGTTTTCTTTTTCCATGTTTCATTCTCTTTCTTCATCTTATCTGCCTTCCTTTCCTGCCTTTTTTTCTTGTCCATCTATTTTCTCCTCTCTTCCTGTCTTTCTTTTAAGCTTTCTTCCTTCAGGGCATAGGCAGTAGTTACAGTAGCAGAGGGCCGCACAAGTTCATAGAAATCAATGTCTTTAAAAGAAACTGCAGTAATAAGTTAATATCATGAGTTTAGAATTAAGTATTTTACTTGGCATACATTAAATGCAAAATGTGGTTGATTCAGTGTAGTTGCACAGCTCAAATTACAAAAAAAAAACACAAAAAAAACAAAAAAACCCAACCATCTGTTGTGTCAAATTGCTATAAAAATACATGTTAAGATATAGGCTCTTATATGATATGATATATAATAGATTTTTAAGGACATAAAAACAAAGAAGAAACACCACAGAGGATATTAACAATTAGACGTCTGCAACAGCATACAAGTTTAAGTTTATTTTTACAATACAACTATAAGCACCAGTATAAAAAGGATACACTGTCAGTGCTGCAGAAATTCCCATTTTCTTCATGCTTAGTTGCATTATAATACAATATAGCAGAATAAGTAATATTTTTACACTGTCTGGTTCTTTTTAATTCAATAAAGTAATCAAAGTGCTACACTAACAGCTTTGAACATCTGCCGCTGTGGATGCAGTTAAACAAACAGATAATAAATAACCAGGAACAACTGTTCTTTGTGCATGAATATAACTGTTTTACTAATGTTGTGTAATACTAGCACTGAGTTCAAAGTAAAATCCCGTGGTTTCACTCGTGCACCCACCATCACAAAAGACAACACATTCTGCAGACAGCTGCAGCAGTCACCTAAAGGGATATAGTACAAGAGCAGGAACACACATTAGCAGACCTGCAGGTATCATCTTTAGTCAAATAGCTTTGCCTGGGTGAGAACAGTACTTTCATCTCCCTCTGGCCTCAGAGCCCTCAGCCGCTGTCAGAGGGAATCCAGAAACTATCCTAATGCAGTTCCAGACAGACACCAAGAACACTGCAGACTCCTGTTCATACTTAATTTGCAAAGCATAGCTTTAAGAAATAACTGTTTACATTGCTCAATTACTATTCGTGCTTGTAGCTAATTTTGAACAAAAACATGAATCTGTGTACTTAAATAATGAAGCATGAGCTTAGGGCATCAATGGCAACAAAGTTCTTTAAAAATGCATTTGACAGCAGACATCAAGGAAGGGGTGCGAGCACCTGGCTGTGGACGTCTAAGTAGTGACACCTCCCTGCTGATGGATAATCTTTTTTTCTCCCTGAGAAAAGCACTACAAAGAACGTTCACTGTATGTGAAGTAACACAGCATGCACAACATCAACACAGTAAAGGAGGAAAATAGTTTTTCTCCAATTCCTCTCAGGTACCGTAATTGCAGATTACGATTCTGAATAACAGATCATGCAAACTTTAACAAATATATATATTTCTGAAAATAGCAACTGTCCTTATCTCTCAAACTTCAGCCTCTACTGCATATAACGGTCCTGTGCATTTGCTTTGGAAATCAACTCCTATAATCCAACTTCAGAAAGAAGACACTTATCCTTCTCTCAGGGATCACTGGAGATTTTAATCCCTTCTAAGCCAAACAGAGAATGAAACTATCAGTAAAATATCAGACAACATATTTTTCTTTTGGATAGCTGAAAAGAACAGGCTAACTATCACCTGAAAAAACACTCACATGCATTTTAAAACATATAATCAGAGGATCTTCACTTGTTAATCAATGTCCACTAGTAGGTGTTCCTCCAGAACTTATTACAAAGGACAAAAAAAAATCCAGTACTACCTTAACACAAAGTTCATTTCCCTTTTCTTCTTCCCCCCCTTTACTAGGGTATGTTACCTGTCAAGGTTTAAATTTCCTGTATAAATAAATTCCAGGAGTTTTTGGAATCCATCGGCTTTCACTTGAGTCTGATCCAGAACAACATTGTTGTCAGAAGCATCTCTGTAAAACGCACCGAAGTACTCGCTGAAGGAGGCGAGCACGTTTCTGTGCGCTTTGAACTGGAATTCACCAATAACAACAGTGCAGTCACACAGAAAGCCGGCTTCTCGCTGTTTGTTCAGCCTCTCTAGCAGGTGCTCGCAGTGATGAGAGTACTGCATCTTGATAGCGTCCTGGCGCCTCCTCGCTCTGGTCTAGGAAAGAGAAGAAGTTGATTAACGAGCGAGATTTGCGCTGCCCCGACAGCGCTACCTTCGCCTTCCCAACCCACCCGCTCGCGGCCAGGCAGCGTCCGGGCAGGGCAGGGCAGGGCAGGG